AAAGTAAGTCCTGAAACACAAATACCAAAAATATCTTTCGCACTGCAAGTTTGCAACAAGGTAAAACTAAAACTACAAATTAATTCTCCAATAAAACTTCTTCAACCAAACTTCTTTCTTGCTAAGACTGAAATGCGTTTCTTCTTCTTCTTCTTCTTTCTACTTCTTGCCATTATCATATCAATAACATTCTTGGTTCTATTCGTTTACACAACAGCCAAAGCAAACAACAAGAACAACAACAAAAGGTCACCACCACAACCACCTAATTCATGGTCCATTGATAGGCCACCTTCACCTCCTAACAGGCTCAACCAACCTCCTCCACAAAACCCTCGGGTCCATGGCCGACACCTACGGCCCGTCCTTCTCCGTCCGCCTCGAAGTCCACGAAGCCCTCGTGGTCAGGAACTGGGAAGTCGCCAAAGAGTGCTTCACCAAAAACGACAAGGCTTTCTCAACACAACCGCGCTCGTTGGCCGTCAAGCTCATGGGCTACGACCACGCCATGATCGGCATGGATCCGTACGGGCCGCACTGGCGCCGCGTGAGGAAGCTAGCCGCCGTTGAGCTCCTCTCGAGCCCACCGGCTCGACTCGCTGAGCCACGTGATGGAGGAGGAAATCAACCGGTTCATTGGAGAGTTGTATGGTAATAATTTGGTGGAGATGAAGGAGAGGTTCGGGGACTTGACGACGAATAGAACGGTACGAGGAGTCGGGGGTTGTCGGAAGGCGTTGAGGAGGTTTTTCTGGTTTGTGGGGATGTTCATGGCGTCTGACTTTGTCCCGGTAGTGGGGTGGTTGGTGGATTGGGCGAGAGGGCATGTTGGGGAGATGAAGAGACGGCGAAGGAGCTGGATTCTGTGTTGAGGAGCATAGGAGGAGAAGAATTGGAGGAGTTGTAGTAGTTGGAGAGTAAGATTTTATACATGTCATGCTTTCTATTATGGAGGGTGATGGTTTTTGGATGTTTGAGCATGAGCATGATGCTGATACTGTCATTAAGGCCACTTTCTTGGTAAGTTACTAATTGTTGATTAGAGTAATAGTATTTGTTATGTTTGGTCATGATAGTAGTATATATGTAAGATTATGAAAGAGTTAAAGATGAGTGCTCCTATGCATTCCCACCCCCACTAAAAATGGGGATCCATTTTTTTCCTGGAACCGAGGAGGGATCTTCATTAAGGCCACTTGCTTGGTAAGTTACTAATCTAGGCTTCGTTCGTTTCATCATTCATTCGAAGGACAACTCAAACTTTTTGCTATAATGTTTTCTCTAAATTAGGTACATTGTGATCACTCTTAAAGAATATTTCATTGCAGCCTTGCAGAGCCTTATCTTAGGGGGCAACGACTCCACCGTCGTGACACCATGGGCACTCTCTTGATTGCTAAACAACCGCCACGCTGTCCAAAGAGCCCAAGATGAGCTGGACTTCCACGTCGGCAGGCACCGCCAAGTGGACGAATCCGACATAAAGAATCTGGTCTACTTACAAGCTGTAGTCAAGGAAACTTTACGATTATACCCTACCATGCCACTCTCAACTCATCACCACGCCATGTAGGATTGCACCGTGCCCGGCTTCTACATCTCGGCTGGCACGCGTTTATTGGTCAACCTCTGGAAGTTGCAGCGTGACCCCACCATTTGGTTAGACCCACTGGAATGCAAACCCAAGAGGTTCCTCAAAGACCATGTCAATTTGGACTTTAGGGGCAATAATTTTGAGTAAATACCATTTGGGTCTGGTAGAAGATCATGCCCCGAAATTTCATTTGGTCTTTTAGTTGTGCACTTAACGCTGGCTAGGCTACTTCAAGGGTTTGCATTGGACACTGTGTCGGACACACCGGTCGATATGAGTGAGTCCCAAGGACTCACAAATCCTGAAGCGACTCCTCTCGAGGTCAAGCTTACCCCGAGATTGCCCTCGGAGCTCTATGGTTGATAAGTAGGAAGGAAAATGTTAGCTTTTACGTGCACGTTACACAATTCTCTATAAGTGATTCACTACTTCGATAGTCTAAATTTAAGCAGGTTTGAAAGTTGGTTCACATAAATAGGTCAATACTTTTGTGGCTGTTATTTTCTTATTTACTCTGGGGTGTGAGATTAATGGATGTCATGGTACTTGTATTTGAAGGTTTTGACCACAACAAATGAACTTCAGGACTAAGACTTCGTTTGGCACAAGAAAAAAGTTGGAGAGATAAGAGTAAGGAAATTAGTGAAGAATTATAGGACACATGATCATCTGATAGAAGAGAACAGAGAATGGAATGATGCATTTGTTGATTTCTCAAACCGGATTTTCAAAACAAAAAAAAAATTTGTACAAAAGTGTGGTATCGATCGAATCATATAAATTAAAATTTAATGCGATCATTATTTCATGTTAATTTAACTACAAAGATATTAAAGAGAAGAAGAAGAATTTTACCGTCACTCGATTATGACGTTAATTTTAAATTCCTCAAATACCATCTTGAGCTTTAAATTCTAAGAACACCACAGCTCTTTCTCAACGTATTTCCGGATCAACGTGAACTTGAATGAGTGGGCATTCTAATGAATTTTTTAACACATAAAATAAATAAATAAAAAGATCATTTATAGTTATCACTCACTTTTTTTAAAAGTACGTGACATCTCTCGGTAGCATTTTTCTCTTCTCACTTTTTTTTTTTCCTTACGCACGGCTTTTTTCTCTTTTGCAAGAGGAACATATACACTTTTTTCTTCCTCAATTTTTCCGTGCAGTTCCTTTTCTGAACTCCCACTATACGTGCTGTTGCACGTATTTTGTTTTGCTTTATGTGAGAAAACGTGTTAACTCTCCTTTTTTTTTTGGTTGTTAGAAACGTTCCTCCTACTACATATATATATATATATATATAGGAATTGTCTCCGGTCAGATACTTGAAAAGTCCGTGACCGGAACGTCAGTTGTATAATTCTACATAAATCGTATATATTTACATGTAAATTGTGTATATTTACATGTAAAGTCGTGTATATTTAATATGAAATACAACAAATTAGTCAATATACATATTTTCATGTATGTGTTCACTAATTGCTATAAAAAATACATGTTTTGAGGATTAATATACATTGTCATTTCTTATAACTTAACATGTAAATATACACGACTTTACATGTAAATATACACGATTTTCATGTAAATATATATACGCGATTTATTCAGAATTATACAATATATATATATGAGAGATGTGGAGAGATTAAGAGTGTAAGAAAATTTCTCTCTTTTTATAAAAGTGACTAGATTCATCTATATTAATTTAAAATAATTTTAAATTAATATACATATTAATTAATCAAATTAATTAATATGTATATTTAAAATTCTCAATTATATATTAACAAGTATAACCCAATATGATTTATAGTTCACATTACTCTTGTGGAGCCGCTGAGAGGAACTATAGACATTATAACTTTAAGCTCCAATAATTTTGACAATTAATTAATACCTTAATTAATATATCAAAATTATTAATTCCAAATTACTCCACTATAAATTTAGAATTGCACTTTTAAAATTATAAAATAGTTATGTTCACGGAATTTGTGTTGTCCATTGATATAGTCACTACATACAAATTAATCCTCCATAAACGGTTCATAATTAAAGTTAGGAATTTTCCGTTGACATCTTTAAATATATCTTTCTCCATAAATATCATTGATCCTCTAATGAATAATATATTTTATGATCTAATCATAAAATTGAGCGCTCTTATTATTCAAGTCTTGGATCAACACTTATGGTAACTGTCCATCTACTTCATTATGAAGGAATGGATTTGATCTTGTAAATTAATATTACCAGCTATTTATTTTACTATGCTCCTAATATACCAAGACTTTGACACTATTCATATGTGTCATTACTCAATATGTCAAAGAACATAATATCATAAAGAGGAGTCTATTAATTACTCATAATTAAGATTAATTCATATATGACCATCATTGATTAATATTGAATGCTCTATTTAATAACGGAATTTATTAAAGATTAATAATTAATCGTGTTTCGGTCCTATGTAATCATATTACATAAAGTGCTTTCATTCTAATAATCTCATTATTAACAATCTGGGATAAGATTGTTTCATTCAAAATGTAATGAACCGCACTAGTAATTTTAAATTAAACATCCCAACTTTAATTTATAATTACGGACAAATTTAGATTATTTTACTTCAAACATTATCTTTTGCATATAACACTTATATACAATGTTTAAAGTTACATCTAAAATAATCTAGGGATTTTTTTTATATTTATAAAACATCACCTGCATGCTTGAAAAAAATCTTCATTTTGTTAATAATTAGCAAAAATATTCACATTTTATTTAATTTATGGGCATATACCCAACAGTATTAGGTGAGAATGGAAGGGATAAGAAAAATGAATCTAGACCAAATACAATAAGAAAAAGATATATGCCTTCTCATCTTCCCACCTAGATTATATAAAACATTTTTTCTTTCTATTTCTTTTGTTTTACTTCTAATAACCAAACACAGCATAAGTGATTAGTGTTAGATACCTTAGACAGAAGCCGTACTCTGTATTTGAAATCCGTGCCTAACTAATCGTGAGGCAACCATTCTGCATGCTTGTATAAATTTGTATAAATTTTATTATAGCTTGCAAAATATGCTCAAATAATAACATTCTATGGTATGATCAGCTTTAGTGCATTAATTAAAGTCCCGTTTCTTTTGCTCTTTTCCATTTTGAGTAGGTCACATGAATCATGAATTCATGATGTTCCAAATTCAGAAGCTTATAAAAGTTTGTTTGCCCTTTCTTTATAAGAAAAGGCCAGCTGATGCCTCATATACATTTACATACAGATATATGTATATATTTATTCATTTTACTCAAACATCTCATACGTGTACTTGAAAGGGAAGTGGACTTTAATCTTTATGAATAATGGAACTAAATATTCAGGGATGAACTTGCTTGAAGCTATTCATGACTATATGAACCTCTGGTCCCTTACTCTCAAGCTGCTCATACTCAACAGCAAAGTCCACCGGTTTGTATTTTGCGGCCAATCTTAGAACTATGCATCCTGTGAATATAAAAATTCCTGCAAGTATCCAACTGAATTGCAAGTTAGCCAGTGCTCTCGCTCTCATATCTGCCTCTCTTGAAGCACACGTTACCGCTCCAAGCATGTCGTCACTGCTAATTCCCCCGGTTAAACGAATGGTACAGCCTGCAGGCACAAACTGTGGACACCACATCATTAACCCCATGTTCATAAACCAGCAGCCTTGGAATACAACAGAATTAGAAAGAACAAAAGCCGCCGAAAGACTGTTTGGGAAACAAGTTGCTGCCAAGGCTGCCAGCAAAGAGACAAACACTATGAGCTGCAAAAGCCAATGGTAGTGCCCTTCAATCCCAACATGGTCAGCAGAGTGGAAATGAAGAAGGAAAAGCTCTTGACCGAAAACGGATGCCACGAGAACTCCTACAACTCCCGAGAGGATGTGCAGCCTCTGAACCAACTCAGCACAAAGGGTAAACCCCGAAAATATGGTCAGGTGGAGGAACATAGTCGCGTGCTCAAAGCTGTCGAGCTTGAACGCAAAGTGAAGAAAAGGGAAGTCTAGAATTTGCATGATGATTGAAAATATGGAGAAAGTTAAGATGAAAAAAAGTTCCATGTGTTTGAATTTTGAAAGAGGGCTATTCCAAGGGTACCAAAACCTTATTGTGAAGTTAGCAGGTCCTTTGAAAAAATAGGATCTGATGGTGTTGATGCTGTGCCATAGGCCGAGGATGGTGAGAGCCAAACCCGGCACTATGTGCCCTATCATCGTGCCCATCGCACGCCTTGTCTCACAAATCAAGGTTGGTTCATGGCTATGGAACTTAAATACCAAAAGCATACATAGAATAGTAAAAGCCACAGATGTACATTATGGTGGTATACCAAGAACATTGGTGGATAATGTATGTGTTTCCACAAACAAAAGTTGAAGAAAATGACATATGACTTGCTGAGCATTTCACTCCCATTAACCATTGTAAAAGTTTGAAAAGAATGGGATATGAGCATTTCACTCAACGTACTCTAGCACACAATGATCATATTGGCTTGGATTATTGGGAAGGCTAAGTAAAGGACAAATTGCATGATCTTATTTTACATGTCTATTGATCGTTACCCCTGTTGTTTTCTTTAGCCTTGAGCAATCCTTATAGCTCCGCTATCTTGATGTTAAATGGGACAAGTCATTATATATGGTATGAATCTCTTTATGAATCTGTTAATGATGAAATAGACATAGCCTTGAGAATGGATGTATTTCCTAGCTCCACTAATATGTTGAGAAACTCTATGATGAGTGGGAGTGTATGGATAACACCGAGGCAGTAGTGTCTCAATTTTAGGATGAGACGGTCACTAAAATTAACTTTATGGAGAACGTTGTCGATAAATGCATATGTGTAAGGTCAGTGGGAGCAGTTGCATGTTTCTGTTTTTCATGTTGGTGACAGCTTGCTCGCACCTAATAATTCTGACCTGCTAGTTAAGACAAATAGCATGTCGCTTAGTCACTTTGGTTTGAGAATCTTGAAAAAGCCTCTTATGTTCTAGGCATGTAGATTCTCTGTGACAAGGATAAGTGCATTTTCTGGTCGTCTTAGAGAACCTATATTGTTCTTGTTTTGAACAGGTTCAGTATGCATTCTTGTTCTCCTAGTAAGCATTGTTTGTTAAAGTGACAAACTCTCAAAGGTGTAATGTCCTTATGGTGAAGTAAGAGAGATCAGATAAAATTGTCCCTTATGCTTGTGTGTTTAGCAACCTATGTATGCACACGTCTTATTATTGTGTTTGTTGTTGACGTGCAGATTCGACACTTGAGTAATTGTTGTTATTATCACTGAATTAATTGGATCTCGTGATGCCGATTAATCAGGCTACATAAATGATAAAAGGAGGAGCTACTTTGTTGAAAAATGTCAAATAGACACTTGTAGTGTTCCTTGACTATGATGCGGAGTATGTGGCGTATCGTGAGGCTATTTGTGTGATGTGATTGTGGAACCTTATTTTAGCATTAGGAGTAGTTCACTCTATTTCTGGACTGGCTGAAGCTGTATTGTGAAAGTTCCATAATAGTATATTTCTCTTAAAACACCAGGAACATTGTCCGCTCAAGCATAATAATGGTGTGTTCTATATTTTAAAGAAAAATTGTAAAAAGGCCTCATTGTTATTGAAAACACACCTATAAACAACATGTTGACATTCCACGAAATACTTACATATTTGGTGTTTTAAGAACACGCATCCCACTTGGGACTGTAAGTCACGATTTATAGCCTGTTTGGCATTGTTTCTTGGAAGCTGTTTTTTTATTTCTCGAGTCCAAAATGTGAGTATTTGGATTATTTTTCAGAAAAGATTTGGTTACTTAGAAAAATTGCCAATCAAAGCACAAAAGTCACCTTCTGAAAAAACTCTTCTAGTAAGTCTTTAAACTCGTGCCTTTTAATTTGCTTATTAGAAGATTCAAATATCATGTTTGTCTCATTAAGCACTTTTAAAAATATAGTTATGAACACTAACTAAAAAGTCTCTCCTCTTCTAATGCTTAAGAAAAGCATAAACAAAAACAATGCCAAACGAAGCTTAAAGTGTATGTTCATCACATTAAAGTCAAGAAAATGTACAAAGATGAAAACATTAGTATGATTCTTTTTTATTCCGTATGCGGTCCTAGTAGATTGTCAAAGTGGCTCACTGAGCCATCGACATGACAAAAACATTGATCCCTTTTTTTTTCCAGAAAAAAAAAAAAAATAGAGGGGATCGCACTAAAGTTTTGAGAATCAAAGGCCTGACTCTTCAACCCCACGAGAGCCACTAGCTTTTTTTCCTATCTCAACGTCTCTGCATGTAGTGGAGAGTGAAGTGTTTCCAATTTATATTATTGTGGCAAATAATGATTTTCCCATTACTTTAGGAGATTCAAATGTCCAACCTTCTTCAACTAAACTATTACTAATGGTTTGCTAAAAAAAAAAAAAAAAAAAAAAAAAAAAAAAAAAAAAAAAAACTACTACTAATGATGAAAAAGTAGTAAGATATATTCTTGGTATATTACCTTGCCACGTTGGCAGATGCGTGAAGAGTGTGCTTGTGGTTTTTGAGCCAATTCCACTAGGAAAAGTAGATTTACAAAACCTGAAAAAAAAAAAAAAAATTACAACTTATTACTTATAACTCGTGTCCATTTATTTTCTACACACTCTCATCTTTAAAAAGTCACTATAAGAAAATTACGTGGCATATCACAAAATTTACATATATTCTGATTTATGTCACAACTTCGTCATGATTTAAATCTATATCATGTTTTTGTTGATCTTTGATTAGTCTACTTGTGTGGCACAAATCTGAAACTCCAATATCAGTTGTATATATCCGAAAGTGAGATTTTTTTTTATGCGATTCCTCAAAATTTCTCTAGTTATCATCACGAATTACCTATCAAGCTTCCATCTACCTCTTTTTAATAACACTTTTAAGGGGTTAAGCTTAGTTAATTGCTGTTTTAAAAGCAAAATTCCAATTACCAAGTGCACAAAACACAAAATTTCCATCAAACCATTATTTAACGGGCTTTTTTTTTGAAAGGATTTAACGGGCATTTTGGATTATAGTTAAGTACTAATAATATCATTACAACAAAACTATCTTTTAATAACGATTAATTATAGCGTTTTTAAAAAAACGTTACCTCAGTTTAATATAATAGCGTTTATAAATAATTATAATATGTTTGTGTATATATATATATATTAAAAGTTCATAAAATTTTGACTAGTTTATTATATATATATATATATTTAAATATATACTAATGTACACGTTAGAATGGCATTGGGCGGGTAGTGAAAAAATTTTCCTGAAAATCTCAAAATTCCCGCTCATTCCTTTTCTTAGAAATCTCAAAATTCCCGCTCCTCCCTCCTTTTTTTTTTTTGTTTGATTTAGCTTTCCCCTCTTCCCATCTTCCACCACTCCGCCGAATCCCATATGAATTGAACATAAGAAAAAAAAAAACCTCATTCGTCTCTTCCTCCAATCTGTCGAATCCCATTCGAACAAGGAAAAAAAAAAAACATTGACGCATCATGTTTTTTTTAGAGAGAGAACGAGAGAAAGAACAGTAGAGAGAAAAATGGGGTTGAGGCCGGCGGGCCGACGCGTTGCCGGTTCGTTTGCTGCCGTTCGTTGTCGGAGGGCCGTCGCCGGCCGATCTTCATGAATATGGGGTTTGTGCCGCCAGGGGAGGGGGTTTTGGCTGGGACCGGAGATCGTGAGAGTTGCTGCAATGGAGGACCTCATCATGGTCGACTTATGTCCAGAGCTCAAGGGGGAAGAGCTGCCGTCATGCGAGGCGGATGTGGGATGCTCAGAACTCCCCCGGGAACGAAATGGGTTGGCAAGGGGCGGGATTGTTTCCTTGGGCGTCAGAGTCTTTGCAAAGATTTTGGTGAGTGTTTCTACTATTGCGTGATTTTCTTTGGCTTTTGATTTGCAATTTGTTTGTACGTCGTTTAGTTGTACATCACAAACCTATTTTATGCCTTGAATTTCTGGGCTTCTTGAGCCATGAACCGTAGTTAGATTCCTGGGCTTCCTTGTTTCCACGTCTAGGGAGAAAAAACCTGCAGATGTGGTATGATTTTCGAAGAGCAACCAGGATTGCAAGTGGTCAAAGAATGTTGTTCCCTCGCTTCAATAATTAACAATGCCGATAAATTGGTTTCACTTTATTACCTCCCAGACTATTAAGCACCGGCTGAGTCAGTTACTCTGCGATTCTCGAAGAATGAATGCTCATGTTTTTAAGCTTCTGCTTCAAGGGTCCCCAACAGAGGTTTGCGTGAAGGATTGTTCTTGGCTAACAGAGGAAGAGTTCACAAAATGTTTGCAGAACTTTGATCCGAGCAACTTAATGGTATGCTCTTTCATTGCTTGATGATGCTTGCCCTTGTTTAAAACTACTAATATTTTTATAAAACTAAAAATTACCAATTCTTTTGGTGACATGACAGCTCTATTATTCTCCATAGCATTACCATATCATATCATATCATTAATCCTGTTTTTTTAGTGTTGTTTTGGTTGAATCTTTTTTTATTTGGAAGAAGTAAATCTATCTCTTCTAGTTTGGAAGGCATGTACTATTGAAGAAGTAAATAATTGGGTGGTAGCATAATCGAGTAGCTAAGTGACTGTCTAGTCGATAATGATTGACATTGACTTTCGAAGCCTACATGGGTGTTGAACAAAAACATTGTCCTAGCTGAATTTGCTGCAACAGATGGACGTTGTCTAATTTGTAAAAGGAAATAGGGTGGATTTTCTGAAGGACATTTGACGTTTGGCAAAAACTCCAAGATTGTTTACTCTAATGGATGCAATCTGTTTTGCGTAAGAGTGGTGCAGTCTAGTGCTTGCTCTTTGTTGTACATCACAAAGCTTCTTTTTTTTATTGAAGCAGGGAAGAAAGGTTTTTAAACGATGACAATAAATTTGTAAAATAAATTCAACCTGCTAGTCTTAAAAGAGAAAAAAGAAGGGAAAGAAAAAATAGTTGGATTGAATTCTCATTGGTATATTTTCGCCCATTGTTTGTGTCAATTTTGTGTTTGCTATGTTATTCTTATGGGGCATGTGTTATAGGTCTGCAGATTCTTGTCTTCATTGTTATTTTTCTCTTTCTATATAAGCTGGATTTTATTCTCTTTTTTCAATTAGGTGTTATTTTTCAGCCCCTGCACTTAGATCTCCCAACCTCACCAAGTGCTCCCTTCTCACCTCCTCGAGTATTGACACCTTAGCTAACTCATTGGGTTTGATCCTGAGAGCTGTATCTTGATCTACACTTAGAAAGCTGAAGGATGAGATTACAAAGGTAAGAATGTGGTTATATAAGATGCTTCTAATGTTTCTTTTTGGAGAGTGTATGAATGAAAATGCCCTTTCTTTTGTGGTTGGTATTGTTAATTTATTGGAAATTGGGATGTGGAGTTTTGTCTTTCTTATTGGTCAATGTTATTCAATCACTAAAAATATTGTATGTCTTTCATAATTTTCCCTTACTTTTAGTCTATTTTGATGTTTATATTCCCTTACTTTCTTTGCATTCTGTTTTGATATACAAGGTCGGGAGATGCTGGCTTTTTTATTTGAGTTTGTGTTTTCTGAATTTCACTTTGCTTGTGAATTGCCTACTTCTTGTTTGAGTTTGGTAACATGATTATTTGAGGATCTCTCTCTCTCTCTCTCTCTCTCTATATATATATATATATATATATTTATATGATTGTGATCTACAATTTTTGGACCAAATGCAGTTAGAGTGTGGGTGGATGTAGCAAAAAAACCGGATGCTTTCTTGTGGAGGCCAACGAGTGATATGAGTACCATTGAAGAATGTGATCTACAATTTTTGGACCAAATGCAGTTAGAGTGTGGGTGGATGTTGCAAAAAAACCAGATGCTTTCTTGTGGAGGCCAACGAGTGATATGAGTACCATTGAAGAAGCAATTTCAAGTAATGTGGCTTGGCCTGCTAATAAAATTTTAAAGGGGTATGTGGAATCTCTACTAGTTGTAAATTTATTTTAAACAAAACATTATATGATTGTGATAGTTTTTTTCTCTTCGGGTTTAAATGTAGGTAATGAAGACTTATGCTTTCTCCAACTATCTACATACCAATACATGTAAGCCATGCTCTCTATCTTACAAGTTTAACATTAAATTTTTATCTAGTGCATCATTGAAGTCATGTTTCCTCTAACTCACTAGCTACAAAATATCTAATGGAAGCCACCATGGAAAGTTAAGCCATGCTCTCTATCCAATGAGAGCCACGGTTAAGCCATGCTCTCTATCTTACAAGTTTGGCAATTGAAAAAAGATGATACCATGGAAAGTTAATGAGTTTTTGGTGTCGTCTACTCTACCTTGGCCGGAAAATGTTATTTTTCAAAAGAAAGAAAGATATGTATATAGTTAGTTGCTATCTTTCACTCTCAATTGTTGACATAATCAATTAGAAGAAGAAAAATGAGAGCCACGGTTAAGCCATGCTCTATATATATATTTGCTGACCATTTTTAGCAATATACAAAGATATGTTGAGAAAGCTCCAAATCTCATCTTTTGTTACCTTTCTCATATGAGAATACTTTATGGTTATGTTTCTAACACATTGGAGTACCTATTATACTTTTCTAATTATACAGGTTAAACAGTGGAGAGGACTTTTTTATTGAAACATTTTGTCAAGATAGAAGGATTTACTTCACCATTGCACTTAGACGTTTTGGAGATGACTTATTTATTTTCTTTACTTGTTTTGAATGTTAAGGTTTTGGACACTGTATGAATTATGTTGTAGACGTAATTTTATTGATAGCTTGGTAGATACTGATAACAATTGATATGTTGAATGTTTTTATGTTTTAATTTGAATGTTCCTATTTAGATATATCACATATCTCGGAATTATCATTTATTTGAATGAATTCAAAAGGATATCAATAATAATTTTAAAAAGTTACAATAGTATGAACATAATAAGGAAAAAAAGTTATTAATCTGTATCGTAGCTGTGCTAAAGAGCTGTAAGAGGATGAAAATAACTTTTCCTACACGTTATAATACTTTAATTCTATAACGTTTTTTATAACTCTCTTGAAATGTTATGTTTTCTTAGGATTTAAAATAGCGCCCGTTGTCTTAGCGTTCTAAAAAGCGCTATCAATGATTAATAGCGTTTTTCGTCAGCTATGAAAGACCTTTTGTGCCTTTTGTGGTGTAGTGTATGTAGTATTTACATGTCATGTGTTTGGTATGTTTATTATAAGCTTTGCTTTGCATCCACAAGCGGAATAAAGCGACAGAAGTGTCGGCATTCTGCACGTTGATTGGCGCCAGACAACGATGTATGCCAATTATTGGAAATGACCAAATCCGAATATGGACCAAATAATTTGAGAACAACATTCAACCTCTCGTCCGTACTGCAAATATAATGGATACAATAGACCACAACTCACAAATTTTTTTCCTAAATATCATAAGAAATGGTTGTATCGAATTTCTTCAATAGTATAATGACATTTACAGTGACAAACGTGACGTAACGAAATTAGTGAATCTGTATAAAATTTTTAGTGGGATTTGTGTTTTTATTTTTCGTTCATTGTTTTTCATTCTCGGTAATTTATTTAGGTTTTAGCCTACATATCCTAACAAAGATATGTTAATATCTTCTTTGATGTTTAGCAAACTCAACATGCAGAAGAGATAAAATCATTTTGATACCATGTGTTATAGCGAAACATACTCTTGGTAATCTGTATTTTTTATAATTTTAAAACGGTATATCGATTTTTTAAAAACATATTCTTGGTACCCTGAAGCTGATTTTTGAGATAAAAAATGACTTCAATGCCCTTCTATTTAATTAACTAAAAATTCATAAATTTAGACAAAAAACCTTGAACTTTTTTGTTGTTGTTTTCTTTTAAATATTTCAATTGTTTAAAAATATTTTTCATATTTTTTTAAAATAATATTGATTTCTATTTAATTAACACGAATGGTAGTTTAGACATTATATGTCTTAAAAATTAACTTTAGAGTACTAAGAAGATATTTTTAAAAACGTCGAAGTACCATTTTAATATTATAAAAAACACAAAGTATCAAGAGAATGTTTCGCTATAATACAATATATCAAAATGATTTTATCCCTATGCACAATTATTTATTTTGCTTCCTTTTTTTTCGTTTTTCCTTCAACCATTGTTTTTTCTGCTTTTCTTTTTTTCCCTTTCCTTTCTTTCATTGTATCTTTTTCCTTTCTTGTTTTTTTTTTTTTTTTTTTTTTTTTTTTTTTTTTTTTTTTTCAGGTACCACGAAAAAAGTAAAAGCAGGAGAAGGTAAAGTAGTTAAATAATTAAAATAAATCGTACATCTATGTATTTATTTTCTTATTGATTCGTACATGTTATAATTGGCACAGCAATCAGGCTACAATATGCGCGAAGCTTATCTAGATGCATGCATTATTTGTGGATATAAAAGATGTGATAGTTGATGATAATTGTGGACCTAGAGCAATAACTGACTTAAGGGTGGTTTGGAATGAAAGCGTCAACATTTGTTAGACGAGTTGTATTCCCATTTAGACTATTATACCAATTATAAATCTAATTAAATACCTAATTAAGTTCTAGAATCATCATATTATCATTTAATTGCGTCAAATTTTGCAGAAGATAATAATAGAAATACTAAAGCTATTTATTGAACTTTCTGTACTATATCATGTGGCAACCTGCAAATTGTTATTTATGAATTTATAAAAATAAATATGGGAAGTTGTTTTGATCAATTGAAAATTAGAGGTTCACTTTCCGCGTTATTTGTATATAAAAAAAATAAATAAAGATCACTTTTGGAAATGGAGCATTTGTAATATTGTGTCCTCCAAACTTTAAAACGAAATAATTCTTTTTTATTTGTTTTTTTTATTGGAAAAAACATGGATAGCTTAGAAGATGATAATTAGAAAATTTCCGAAACAATTAGTCAATTAGAATTATATATTTAATTTTTTTAATGACCATTCCTTAGATTTTGTGGGGGAAGATAAATCATTCCATGTCTATTAACACCTCTTATCATTTCTGTTAAAAAAAAAAAAAAAACCTCCTATCATATATGGTTAGAACAAAATTAAAAAAAAAAAAGAAATACATAAAGAAATAAGCCATCTCTCTGTTTTTGGAAAATGCCTATTAAAAGTTCCTACAGTTCCATGTACACGCATTCTTTTGTTCCCCATGTCTATAATCTATTAAACTAGTTATAGCGCACGTTTTAACGTGCGTTAGCAGTACATGTATATTTTTTTGGGTGAAAAAACTTTCGGCATTACTGAGTATATGTATTGAGTTAGTACATTTACATTTTTTTTTCGCAAATTTACATGTATTTATTTAGTACATGTATTATTATTTTATAAGATACGAACATTGTTAGTAGATTTATTATTAAAACGACATCGTTAATCTGAAAATATTTTGATCTTTTGTTGTAACGCCGTCTAGAATTAAACATGTTTAATTATGTTAATTGTGTATATTAGTGTGCCTAAAATTAATTTTTCTGGTTAATCTTGTGATTAAAGATTAAGTTTTTGAGTTATTTTAAGGACTTATAAATTACTTTTAGTTTTTCAATTTTCACATCGAAAGTTTTTAAAAATACACTTAATTTTAAATGCATTTTTATTTATTTATTTATTTTTCCCTATTTCTTTTCTTTTCCTTTTTTTTCTTTCTTTTCTTTTTCTTTTTTCCCCTTCCTTTTTCCTCCCGTGCAGCCCCTGCCCCAGACCCCTCTCTCTCTTTCCTTTCTTTCTTTTTCTTCTTTCTTTCCTCTGGTTCACCAACCATCGCATCTCTCTCTCTCTCTCCTTTCTTCTTCCACGCCGGCCAGCCACCTCCGGGCTCTCTTTCTCTCTCTCTTGCTCTGTCTCTCTCTGGGTTTCTCTCTCTCTCTCTCTCTTGGAGTTCCCTGCCGAAACAGGGAAGAAAGAAAAAAAAAACAAACGAAAATGGGAGAAACTGAGGGAGACAAAGCTCCATCAACTGATTTAAGCTAGTGGAGAAGGTCAAGTATTAAAGCTTTAAGGAAAGCGAAGGCTAGCAGAACTGAATGCTAGACTAGGTTTGATATCCGAGAGGTAGGATATTCTTGTCCATATCCTTATTAGCCACATTTTAAATGATTTTGGCCTATGAAAATGTTTTAGAACAAAATATGTTTAAAGAAAATGATTTTTAAAGGAATAGCATGAGAAT